TGGAAACCTGGGCTGAGGACGGCCGGGGGGCTCAGCGTCGGGCGCGAGCGAGACGCCCTCGACCTCGCCTCCCTCCCTCTCTCAGGTAAGGCCGCTCCGCGCCCCGGGCGGGGGGGAAACGGCTCGCGGACATCTGGGAGGCCCACGACCCCTTTCGGGGTGCCCCCGGGCTGCGGTCGCGGCTTCTGACCTTCCTCCTCCTCGCCCGCCCGCCCGCGCTGCTGGCGCGGAGGCCGGGGGAGCGGGACGCCGGGCCTGCGCCGGGCTAGGCCCCTTCCCCTTGCCCGGCCGCCGCCTCCGCGCCGGGCGAGGACGGGGAGCGGCGCCGGCGCCTTGGACCTGCCCGCCTGGAAATCAACGGCTGCCGCCTCAGCATCCATCACGCCAGAGCTCGGGGGCTGCCCCGGGCTCCGAACTCGGCGCTCTCGGGTGCCTGCCGGGGGCAAAACACGACCTTTCTACCGTTGGGTTCCTGCCCTCCTCCGCGCTTCACTTCCTCGTTCAGTCTTTCCGCTTCGTGGGTCTGCGTCTCACCCCGGCCTTCCCCCCTTAAGTAGCTTTAAGTAGGTTTTGGGTTTTGTTTTTTTCTTTTCGGATCAGACGCAGGGCATTTCTTCCCTGTCGCCCCCAGCACGGCCCTTCCTTTGACCGGCGAAGTTCTCATCCGACCGACTCTGGCTTCGGATGCAGTACCCCAAAGTTTAAGAGAGAGTGGGCTGGACCGGCTTCATTAGACAAATCCGTTCACTTAATATCACCGAGCTATCTTCCTTTAAAAAAAAAAGTTGCATGATTCAAAATGGGGTGCGAAAATGGAACCCCGAAAGCATTTTAAAAGTGCAAGGCTCAGTGAGGTGTTTGGGAAGAGTTATTTTCTTCTGACCTCTAATGTCAGAAAGAGCCGATCCGTATCGTTTGCCTATTTTATTTGCAGAAAGCCTGCTTAAGCATTTGATAGGGAACCAGATTCATCAGTATTCACTGAGGACTACAACCGCCTTGAAAACTTTTAAGAAGATCACTTAGGAGCCACTAGGAAGCTGTTATGATGAAGTCAAGACCTTTTAAAATAGGCTCCACATGTTTAATGTATCAAAATAAAGTTGGCAGGAGACTCCTGAAGGATTATTTAGGAATTTGAGTCGTCTTGGTGCTATGGAGCTATTTTGGGAAAACAATATTTTTCCCTTAGCACGCGTTTACAACTCCTGTGATGTGAGCATTATTGAGGTTTATTGTGGGATTAGCAAAGGAACTTACTTTATTTGAGCTTCTGCATGGATGTCGGAAGTGGTAAGCTGTCCAAGCTGGACAGCGTAAGTCACAGTATGTTCTGGGAGATGAAGAAACATACCGTGGAAGCTGAATGTTAATAGACATTTCGTTTACTTTCTCTGTTGTGCAACAGCAAAGTTTCTTTTGTTGGCCTACTTTTTAAATAGAGCATTTCTAAATAGTGAGGCAACTTATCCTAATTATTATGATAGTCTTTTCCAAGAATACAGGTCTTTTTTTTTTTTTTTTAAGGATAAAGTTATATTATACTTAAAGTAGGCTTCCTAAGTGGGCAGGCCTTAAGTCTTTTAAGATTTAGTATTTAGAACAGATTTTTTTTTTCTCTTAAACTTAAAAGATTTTCTTTCTGGCATAATCCTGGCTTTTTTTTTTTTTAGTTTAGTTTCTTACCTTCTTTCAATGCCGCCTTTGTCGTCCTTTTTTCTTTTTTTCCTTGTGTTTTCTCCTGCTCATTTGTTTGTTGTCTGAGAGTGTTATCAAAGTTTCTGTAGCAGATCTTTATATTGCACTATCATCATGGAGTAGTCTTTTTATTTGATTTGCCACCCCCCTGTAATTAAGATTTCCCCAGTTTTTATAAATGTTTCTCTTGATGGTGTGCTATCTTCTTAGAAGTGACTTAGAGTTTTCAGCACCTGCTTTCTTTACACTGGATGTTTGATTTCTGTGAAGACTCCAGGAATAGGTGAAAGCCTTTGCAGATTGTGTGACAGGCATGTTAGTAAGCACTGCTTTGTGTCAGTAATGCCATGTATCCCTACTAAATCCTTAGGATTACTTCAACTACAGGGGTGGTGGACAGTCTAAATAGTGGTACTTCATAGAGCCGTTGACAAGGTCAGAAAAAAACTAGCTCTTGTTGAGAGTCACATTCTTTTCCTACACCATAACATTTCTTTTAGTCTTTTGAATTACAATATGATGTAGAGTAGCAGGAGACACTACCAGAGTGGAACTTCTGTAATGGATGTAGAGATTCGTAAAAAACTGGTTGAGATTATAGTTAAAGGAGTGCAGGTAAACCATGCCCTTGTAAATCCGTTGGTAAACGTGTGCAATTATGTAATACTATGTAATGATTGATTTCATTTTTCACATTCATTGGTGTGTTTTCTGACATGAGCACACATATAGACCATTTGCTGGCTTTCCAGCTCATTCCACTTTTGGAAACCTATGTGTCAGTAGAGCTGTGCTCTGTAGGGAGAGGCTGGATTTATAAAGTGGATTGCCAGGCCTTTCTTCCAACTTACTTAGATAGCATAGAAAGTAGTGAAGTAGACTGTAGTTCTAACTACAGGGTGCCTTCATATGAGAGATTAAAATTCATGTAAGTGGGTAAAATTAGCTTATTAAAATACAATGTGCTTCACTCTGAAATAGGACTTTTTACAAATCACTGATTTTTAAGCAGATTATTTGGCAAACAGCTGACACTGTTAAAAGCTTTTTTTATTCTAAAATTCTAATGGCAAAATTTATTCAAGTAAGCTTAAAAAATTTAATGGGAAGAGAATTGTTTGGAATAAGAATTTCTGTATATTCAGTGGTTTTTCATATTGTGCTTCATTTTCATTCCTGTATTTGATTCTGTTTTTGAAATGAAACAGTATTCCTATTTATATTAGTGACTTCAAAGTTTTATTGCAAAATGTATCTTACTCATCAGATTAGCGGAGCTGTTCCTGAAGAATGATTAATTCGAGATAAGTAGCCCTAGTGGTGCTGTGTTGGGTAAGCATGGGGCTGCAAACTGCAAGGTTGGCGTTTCAAACTTACCAGCTGCTCAGGGAGAAAGACTTACAGTCCTAGAAACCCTTTATAGAGTTGTTATGAGTCAGTCATGGACTAGATGGCTAGGGGTTGTTTTTCGTAATTGGGGATAAGAGAAAGTTTCTAGACTCTGGATGGGTGCCAGATTTTGTGATGATCTAGACGCTTTCCCTTTCTCAGTTAAAAAAAAAATTGGCAAGGTTGATTTGGGGAATTACTCGTTATTTCTAATTTTTGCTTAAATATTATAAAACTTAATAAAATTATTGTAGTTTGTCATCAGCTGATCCCTGGGGGATGAAAAAGGTACATGAGCTCATTGAATTTCATCTGTTTTTATTTTATCCCTGATTTTCATTGGGGATGAGTGTTTACATCAATTCATTGATTTAAAATAATGGAAAAACAAAAGCCTTTTAGGCTAATTTGAGTATGCTAAGGTGGTCTTATATACCATTCAGAACCTATTTTTAAGTAGTATATTTCTAAGGAATTTCTAAGACATTCAAAGGAACCCTGATGACCTGACGGTTAGGTGTTGGTCTGTTAGCCATCAGGTTGACTTTCAAAACATCAGCCACCCTGAAGGAGAAAGATGAGACTGGCTGCGCCTGTGAAACCCATAGGAACTACTCAACTCTGCCCTTTGGGATCAATATGGGTTGGAATTGATTTGGGAGCTGTGGGTCTCATTTTTTAAAGTAAAGATTCAGTCTTGTAAACCCAAAGGAGCAGTTCTACTCTTGTCCTTTGGGGGCCAATATGTGTTGGAATAGATTTGGTGGCCTTGAGTATCTTGTTTTTTAAAATGCAATCTATCATATCGATTTCAGAAGAGTAAGATACATATACTTTAACACTACATTTGCGTTTCCCTCTTCAAAGAGACCACTGCTGAAATTAATTTCAGTGATTTGACCAGGTAGCTGAATTACAACACTAAAAACCTCTTTACAGAATCTTGATAATGCTATGAAAATTTCCAAAAGCGTAGTCTATATTTTATTTCCCAGATTACATGAAGATTTAGTGTGGTGTAGTAGGTTATGTGTTGGGCTGCTAATTACAAGGTCAGCAGTATAAAATCATCAGCCACTCTACCTACCTACCACCCTTTTCTACCACCCTAAAGAGTTAGAATCTTGAAAGCCCACAGGGGCAGTTCTCCTTTGCTTATAGTGGCGCTATGGGCCAGAATTAACTTGTTAGCAAGGAATTTGGCTTGGGGTTTGGTAAATGGTATTTCGTACTTGCTTACTAAGCTGAAACCCCAAATTCTTTGCTATCAAGTCAGATACCATGAAGAACCCTCGTGGTGTATGGTTTATTGGTTAAGCATTGGGATTCCCATAGTGGGACTGTTGAAACCACTAGGAGAAACACTGGGCTTTCTACTCCCATAAATAGTGTTACAGTCTCGGAAACCCACGGGTGGTTACTATGAGCCAACATTGACTTTTTGGCTGTGAGAGAAACAATCATAGGGTCTTCATACTTTTTAAAATAAATTTTCATTCATATTTTGGGCTACATCTTTTTTTTCAATTGTAACTTCAGTAGCAGACACAAACCATTTGCTTCCAAATAATGGTAAATCGTAACAGAGAAGAGTTTGCGTATGATTTTAACAAGTTTTATTGGTATGTATACTTCACATATCATACAGTGTAATCATTTTATCATATTAAGAGTTGGGTAATCATCACAATCAATTTCAGAACCTTTTATTATGTTAGCTTGTAACCACATGTACAATCTCTTGGTTTTGCTTGGTGTGATTTTTACCTTTTATAATGATACACCCTTAGTAATAACTTGTTTAGCTTCAAGAACCCAATAGTTTTAACAACCAATTGTAATCATTGTATTTGTTTATATAATAAACATACATTTAACATAGTGTGTAACATGTAAGTGTAGTTTTTTACCACTTTAAAGCTTTTCTGATTTAGTAGTTGCAAAATTTTCTTTTGAAGTATTTGGAAAATAACAAGATTATATTTATTGGCTTTTAAA